GGAGGTTTCGGGCGCGCCCACGCACTCGGTATCCTCTTCCGGTTCCGTGTTTTTGTTCCCGGTGCAGCCCTCTCTGCGCCTCGGGGGGGTTTTCGTGGGGCGGAGTGGCCGGCCGTCTTCAGAGGGGACCTGGCTGCCGAACCTCCGGAACCGGACAGATGGCCACGGTCTCCTACCCACCTCGTTCCCCACGTCCTCTTTCTTTACAGGTTTAGGGTGGCCCTTGAGTTAACACCCAGTAACATAGCCCAGACGTCATTAACCTAAAGATAACAAGGCCCTTCAGAGGGAGAGACAGCGGGACTTATTTGAGCTGCTTGGGAACCATCGATCCAGGCCGGAGCCCGGGTGCTGCCCCATCGGGGACCACGGCAACGGGTGCGGATGCGGGAGGCGTTTCCATTGGTGCCGATGGCCGGGCGCCGGTGATCGCTTCATACGTTGTGTTTAGTTTTCCGTCTCGGAGCCCTAATGGCGGCTTCTTGGTGTCTCTGTCAGCAGTGCTTTGGGACAGTGTTGTCCGAGGCCCGGTCCAACGATTATTTGGTTCCGTTTTAACATACCAAGGTTTGAGGTAGAAGCGTGCAAGGCAGTGCCTCTGGCATGGCAGCTCTGGCTCCATTTTATTTATTTATTTTATTTTATTATTTTTTTATTTTATTGTTATTACTTATTTAATCCTCACCTGAGGACATTTTTTTCCATTGATCTTTAGGGAAAGAGGGAGGAGGAGGAGCAAGAGGAGAGGAGAGAGAGAAACATGAATGTGAGAGAGACATCAACTGCCCCCCCCCCACCTGCACCGCCCAGACCAGGACCTGGGAGGTACCCGCCCTTGACCGGGATGGGACCCAAGACCCTGGGGTAGGCGGGCCAACGCTGTAACCACAGAGAAAAACCGGTTCAGTGGATAGAGTGTCGGCCTGCGAACTGAAAGGTCCCAGGTTCGATTCCGGTCAGGGGCACATGCCTGGGTTGTGGGCTCGAACCCCAGTGGGGGATTTGCAGGAGGCAACCGATCCATGATCCTCTCTCATCATGGATGTTTCTGTCTCTCCCTCATCCTTCCTCTCTGAAATCAATAAAAATATATTTTTTAAATAAAAAAATAAAATGTCTTTGTTTATTATACATATTTTGACAACCTTAACTTCATGATTTAGATGAACGTACCATAATGATATCTAAGGTATTAGAAGAACTTAACCACCACGTGGGCTAATCTCTAAATTCCTCATTTAGCTCATCTAAGAAAAGAATGCCCAGCCGGGGTTCACGGGAGAGGACCTGACTCGGGGCGGAGGAGAATTCAGGCATCTGAAAGGGTGTTCTTTGTGTTGTACATTGTGTGGGGTAGAGCCTTCCCAGATAGCGGATGCGTTACTTCAAAGTGGTCAACTTTCCTTGCTCTTTCCATTTATTAATTAAAATGTGCTCAGCTCTAGCTGGTTGGGACCTGTGGTTGCAGGGTCCTCCCCGGCCCAGGCCCTGGTCGGGGCTCGTGCAGGAGGCAACCCATCGATGTGTTTCTCTCACACGTGTGGTGTGAGAAGGGTTCTAATTTTTTTCCCTGTATGGGTAGCCAATCGCTCCGGCATCATTTACTTAGTAATACACCTTGGCCCCACTGATTCGTCCTGCCTTCTCTGTCACAATCGTGTTTCTACACGTGTGCGGGTTCACTTTTAGAGTCTTGGCTCTGTTCCCCTGGTTCGTTTATCTCTCGGCCACACGCCCTTACTTAGAGGAGCTCTACACAATGTCTTGATGTTAACAGGACGGGCCCCTCCATGTTGTTCTTCAGGATTATCTTGGCTCTTGTTGGCCCTAGCTCTCGGTCAGGCTTATAGCCTATCACCC